TCCTTTCGTGGGAGTCTCAACAGCTGAGTTTATGGCTGGTTTGATTGGAAAGCGAGTAAGCGGTTTATGTTTATGCAAGTGCGGATGTGTTGGAACTTTTCGAATGGCTCCACTGTAAGACCGTAAGCGTTTTCTGCTACGGCCATTTTGTTTACAACCTCCATGAGATAGCTTCCATATCCTTTTTCTTGGAAGGAAGGCAGGACCAGGATCTGGAATCAAGAACCAATAATTGTCATATAGAAAAGAATGCAAGAAGAACTGAGATCATCGAGGTGTACATATATTATTATTACTTGGCTGAGATCAAGCACGATGATTCCACCCTAGTTACATAACAAGTTATGTAATGACATTATGATTTAATGAAAAGTAGATACATGGGATTTTGAATTCTTTTTCTGATGAGTTCCCACTAATGTCAAATGAAAGTTTACAATAAGCGAAACATCATACAGTTTCTATCACTAAAAAGCTCAAAACAACATAAGGTTTGTTTGAGTCTTTACTAGTTTATATAAGATTTGTTAGTGTTTATAAAAGGTTTTGAAGAGTTTATATAGGGTTTATAAACAAAAAGTTTATAAATATTTATATAATTATTTATAAAGGTTTATAAAATAATTTATAAATTTTATAAGAGCTTATAAAACCTTGTGTCAACCATCTATAAAGTTTATAAAACACATATCTATCTATATAAATATTTATAAAGGTTTTTAAAACTATTTAAAAGGGTGTATAACACTATTTGCAAGAACTTATAAGCTATTTATAAGAGTATACATTTATTTATAAATGTTTATAAACAATTTACAAGGTTTATAAATCTATTTATAAGAGTTTATAAATCACCAAATTAACCAACTGTAGCATACATCATACATCAGTCTACATCAACCCTTTCTTCTGCATCAGTCTCCTGTAGTAGCGTGTTCCGAAATTCTCCTCACCTCCTTCGTTGTTGAAGCTCATGTCTATCACGCCATCATTCCCCCCTGCTGAGCTCACAGTACCTCAATCTGATGCAGGTATGGACTGTCCAGAGCTAGGGGATGGCGCCGAGGCAGAGAAGGGGCACTTGGTTTTCAGTTCTTGCTGGAACCCTGTATCGAGTTCAAGGTCAGGCTTCCCGGTTCCTGAGAAGTTGTATAGCCTGTCCTCAAAGAATGTGCAGTGCGTAATGCCTATGCTGTGTGCTCCTGCATTACAAACGATCACAAGAAATGAATCATATCACAAAGAGTTAACCAATACACGATCATGTGTATAGCAAAAGCATGGAGAGAGCTGTTGATAGCAAGGAAGTGAGGACTACCAAATAAGCTGACGGTTTCTCTCTCGTTAAATCCTCTAGTACCAAACCTTGCAAGAATCACCGAGATAGTAGCTTGAGGTGTAGGAAGCTCACGTTCTGCCATTTATTTGAAGGCAACTACACTGTCCTTTCTTCCAGTTTCCAGCGGATATAACGGACCACCAGCCTTAAGAGTTTCAAAGTCATTGATTCAGAGTTACAGAGATATGAACATGTACAACAAAACCATAAGCGAAGTAAGGAGATTCACCATAAGGACGGCTTCTCTAGCAGGCAAAACAAGAACATTCACCATAAACGGACCACCGCGTCACGAGAAACCGGAGAGACGGCACTATTTTTCTCAGACCAGGGATTTCTTCCTAACATATTGTTCTCCCTCTAGATAAAAGTACTACTCTTTAAGTGGTTTTTTTTGCTACCCCTATCTTCATGTCTTTGTTTCTTCCTGCTACTGCCCTCATACGCGGAGTTTGGCACTATACCATCATCGTTACCATGAATTCTGCTGATATATTATCGTCTAGCTGAAAAGATAGGAGAAGAAAACAGCTACCAGTTAGTAACTTGTAAAAAAAAATTTAGGGAAACATCAAACCGATTTGAATAACAAAGATTTCCCAAAGCTGAACACAGAACACATCCAAGTGGTAATTTATGAAATATAGTGCTAGAGTATTATCATAAAGAGAGATGCATGTATCAATGGTAGCAAGATACCAATCTAATATCGAAACTTCAAATGAGGATAGTAACATGGTAGCCAAACTCTTCAGTGATATAATAATAGAGAGTCTAAATATCAAAAGCACAGAGAAACTAGCACTATAGCTACAGATCTTGGAACATGAAACAAAGAAGATTCAACTAGACCACAGTCTATTAAAGATGTAGAATCTCAAGCACAATAATCCTTGCACATAGACAACTACGGAAGTCTCAAGATCGCAGGAAACAAACATACAGTAGTAGTTTAGAGCACCTACGGAAATTCAACCAACACTACAGAGGGTGGAAGTTCTCATGCTTGAGGATGAAACATCATTAATTTCAAGCAAACATGTTTTCATACACTGTCTCTCCTTCACAAGTATGCGTTCATTCCTGCAAATGAAATAACCAACACACAATTCAGGGATTAACTTTTCAATGGTGATCTATATATAAAGCAATTATTGCCTTAATCTTTTGTCAAACGAAATCTCTCACCAAGTGCCTTAATATGCAGAATAACTGATGGGAGTTTTGCTTGCAGATAACTCAGGTAGTCCAGGATCTTAAGTCAACTGTGCTGGCTCTAGAATCATCTGATGAAGAAGTTGGAAAAGCTGTTAGAGAACTGATGCAACGGAGCACATCTTCTTCCTCTGTTTCTTCTGATGAGATCAAAGATTTCCATTATGCAGCATTGAAGCTCCATCTTTCAACACCTGAAGCCATTGTGATTGAGAGAAGATCCCTGAAGTCACTGCATTTCTTCCTTTCCCAACGCTTAAGCTGAAATTTAAAAAAAAAAACATAACAACACCCACAAGCCATCTTAGTGACACATCAAAGACTTGAGAGACTCAATAATTTGCTTCCGGTTATCTATCATGTATTAAGGCAAACGTTTGGTATCAAGGTTAGAGACACTTGAGACATGGGGTTCTTGTGTTGTGGTTACTAACCTTTGCAAAGACAAGACATGGGTTCTCAGAAAGCTTGACCCGCAACAGATAAGTAGAATTAAAGTAATGAGCTATCAAAATGCAGACACACATGATGAAACAATTAATCAACCAAATGTGCAAACCCAAAACAATGTCAGAAGAGAACAAATGGTGTCGTTCCACTCACAGCGGAATCATTGATCAAGGAATCAGTTTTAGTGAAGATATCTTCCAACGGAAGAGTGAAAATACCAAGGCAATACTTAATATCAAGAAACAGCTCATCGGTTCTAAACTGATGCCTAAAGTTCTTGAAAATGGAATTAGCCGTCCCTAAAATTCCGTTAACTGAACCGTAATCTCCAACGAGAGAAACTTTCTGGAGGCTGGAGACGAGCTCCGGAAGCAAACCAGGCCAATGTCTCGGGAAATCATAAGAGGCGGCTTCAGAATCCTGATCTCACCACATATGCTATACTCGTCGAGGCCAACAACATAAGGTCCAACAACGGAGATTCCTTCTCTCTAACTAACTTTACCATCTAAATCGCAATGAAGCTTGGAGAATTGATTCTTGATTACGGCTCGAACAAAGCTACTGTCTACTTTGCCACCTTCTAGTGGACCAATAGACTTTTCAGGTAGACCAAATATATACTCCAGAGTCCTCTCTAGAGGCCGGTTAAGGGAATGATCAAAATGTGGAACAATACGAGTTTTTGATGAATTGTCTTTGGCGTCTTCACCATTAAGTAAAACGGCTAAACCAGAAGACATCATACCACCAGCAACCCGTAGGCTGTCTTCAGCCATATGGCATTTGACAGGTTGCAAATCTCTGTGACTAGACCGCACAAAGATTATGAAATGACTCCCAATAACCTTAACTCAAACGCTGCTCTTCCACAGAGATAATTACAAAGAAGCACAGTTCTACAACAGAGGCAAATCTCTTGAATGATTCCCAATAACCTCAACACAGCTTATTGCAAAGAAGGCACAGTCTACAAATCCAGAATCATCAACAAGAGCTCAGAAAAGCTGTGGAGAAGAACAAAAGTAACATATGAGTTTCCAAATCAAACAAGAGTTTTGGAGAAGTGAAACAATTAAAGCTTTCAACTTTATAATACCCATTTATGGTGAACTATAAAAGTTATTCGATTTCAACAAACTCGAGAAAAAAATAAACCCACCAAATCTAGAAAAACTCCAAACTCACCAAATAAACTCGGGAAGCATAAGGCTTCGCTTCGCTGGCTCTGGATTCTAGGGGAAGAGGAGAGCATGAGGGATACGATTAGCGTCTTGATCTGCTCCTTCTCGGGAGGTGTGATCGGAGAGATGGAGGA